CAATATTTAAACATTTGTAGCGATGACGAAATAAGGAACTTCTCTCGTCAAAAAATGCTAGAGAATATACTTACAGTTTCTTCGAAAGAAACTTCACTTGTTTTTCTCGGAAATATAAAATTTCTGTATTTGTTATTTTCGTTTGAGCTTAATTTTTGCAAAGGTAACCTTACTTTTTTTCGTCCGTCCACTTTTAACACTCCTGTTTGAATAAGCCGGCATATTTTCTAAAACATGATGGAAACGTAATACCATCTGCTGGACGATGTTTAAATTCAGTAATCGAATTTGCAACTGCCTCATATGTAAAACAAAACTAGTTGTGTTCGTTCGGTTACTTTTGTATCAAAGCTTCTACTAATGGAGACGTTTGCATTAAGATTCGCTTAGGTACCTTGATGAGATCGCTAAAAAAAGAGCATAGCGTGGTGAAAAAGGCGCAGATCCTGAAAACAAAATTTTATCGTTAAAATGTTTATGTTATTATTAAGAGAAAAGAACAAAGTATTTTTTTTGTTTATTTTTTAGATGATTCCTTCTTTTTAGAACATTCTAACTTTTGATTAAAAAACTTTGTTTCTCTTTGTATCAGCGGAACTAGTAAATAACGTAAACTTTTAGCGCATTTATTTTTCTTTGTATGACAGACATTAATTTGGAAAAAACTTGCAAAAATAAAAATAATTGTCGGATTTTAATGAAACTTTCAGAAACTATTTACAAATGATGGAAATTATTATAATCTTCCTTTTTTTAAAGTCATGACAAATATTTTTTTTATATTCTTAACCAACTAATTTAATGAAAACTCTAGAATTTCATTAACGTACAAATCAGTGATTATATTCGTTAAAAGCACAAGGCAAGGAAAGCAAATCATGTTTTTGTTGTTTTTTTTTAAGCGGACCACCTCTACCTGAAAATCAGCTCTGAATTATAACATACGAAACTTAATAAAACAAAGATATTATTTAATTTCAAATGCTTTTAGTTGCTTTTATGAATATGGATAACATTGCCTGAAAGCAAAAAACATTTTCGATGAAAAATGAATTTTTAAAACAATTATTTGTTATTTCTTAAATTTTTTATTATTTTTACATTAAAGTTGTTAAATATTCTAAAATTAGTGAAAATGGTGTACAGTTTAGTTAATTGTGTTATTTATTAGATCTATCGTTACAGATTATAAATTGTAAAGCTTTTTTACAATCAACTGACCACCAGTGTATGAAAAATACTATTTTGTATCGCCTTTTGTATGTCCATAAAACGGCTGCAATTCAAATGTACGGAAGACCGTACATGAAAACAATAAAACGTCACATTATTTGAGTTGAGCGTTGTTCCCCTCTGTTACAGCCTTTATTTTTACGAATTTTGCGAAACACGGGTGGATAAGTTGATTTGTTTTTTTTTCAATTTCAACTGAGATTGGAACCTACTAGTATTAGGTACCTATCTAATGAAATTTATATGATCTTATTTTTATATTATCTCATTTATGACATTTTTCCATAAATGAAATATCAAAATTAATAATAAAATGAATGGAAATACGAAGAACACAGTAAAATGTAATAAATGTACATAAAAGTATAGTTTTTTATGTAGACTTCTGATAAAATTTCATAAAAAAGGAACCTATAAATTAATTAGATACCTTTTTCTTATAAAATGTTATCCCACTCTCAATAGTCTTAATTTAATTTTTTTATTTTCCATAAAGCATCGCAAACGTAAAGGTGAAAGCTAAGTACAAAAAAGAAAAACAAAAAAATTAGAGCGCTGAAAGATTTCCTTAAAAATAACACGGTAAATAATTGGTTCGCTTAAATCTAAATAATTATGTCACTTCTGTTCTTCCGTACGATAACTTTCCCTCATGTAAGCTGTCAATACGTGATGAAATCATCACTCATCACTTGTCAATCGACACCATTGTTATTTTTTTAAGCTACATTTTTGCGGCGCAGAAAGTAAGTAAAGTTTGTTTCAAAATATTTTAAATAAACTTTAAAATTTCTAATTTAATTGAAATAAGTTTTGAAAAAATTTTAATTGATTTGTAAAAGACTTTTAAACGGATATTTTCTTTTTTATTTACAAAATGGAAAAAATTGGTTGACAGGATCGATTTTCTGTCAATTTTGCTGACTAAAAAAATAAGATTTTTAACGACAATTTCGAACGTGCTAGGAATTCAGAGTTTGTCTATATTTCTGAGAGGATCGAGTTTTCATTGTCGGACTATTGTCCTCATCTTTGTCGCCATAAAACGTTTCGGCCGTTGTACGCTCCGGCCTTCTTCAATGGTTGGAATTTCGAACTGAACCCTTTATTTCGAATTAGACTGTCTTAAACGTGCCATGTTTGATGGATGTCAGTTATCAGTTATCTCCTGCTAATTTTCCCTCTGAAAGTTCTCCACTGCCTGAACTCACCTTCTTTGGGTCAATAACTGCCTTTCTTTGGGAAAATTTGTCACTGTAAAAATTATTTTCACTGGTTAAGGCAGTTTAAGGCCCAAATATGGCTGACAAAGATGAGGACAATAGTCCGAAAAAATCTGTGCTAGGGAAAAAAAATGTAAAAAAATACCCAAAAATACTTTGATCTTTCCTCTTGATAATAACAAACATTTACGCAGTAAAAAATTATTTTCATCAAGTTTAAGGCCCTCTTTCATCATGCTATGCCTTTTTTAGAAAATGTTTTCGAGGTACCTAGATTCGCTCTAACATTTCATCTTGTTTAATTTTCTGTTCATGCTGTAATTTCTGGTTTTCCACAAAAAACCTTTATTACTGTTGATAATGCATCTATTTTCAAAACAACTTAGTAACGAAAACAGTTTGCTTTTTTAAATCTCCAAGTGGTTTTCGTGCGAAATAAGTCTTTCTTTCTTGAAGAAAGAAAGACTTAGCAACTTGTCACGAAAATAACCGAAAAAAAATTCAGTTAATTATTTTCAAAGAGAAAAAAAAAATCTTACTTTGAAAGAAAAGTCCCCAAAAAGCCTTTGAATCCCTGAAAATCCAAGCGTTACTTCCTTGATCGCTCTAAGGAAGAAAACAAAAAAATCCGCTGCTAACTTGAAGAGCTAGCCGCTTCCTATCAAGTTGAGTTGTCGTTTCCAATTAAGTCGTCGCCAGTTTTAATGTTGTCTGGGGTGGTTATTGAAATAATAACTAGAACGGTAACTTACAAAGTATAAGGGTTTATTTTAAAGAAGAACAATGCAAGTAGATATTTACAAGTTCGTCTGAAGCTGGAAAGCAAGCCGGTATTTCCCGACCTCCCCACGAGGAAGGATGGGGCACAAGGCAGATTTTTATGTGGAGGTATCCGAACCCGTTGGCCCGGGCAAAAATTCCCCGTAGACCCGCCATACATAGTGTCGGGCCTGTGTACCCCTCCCCAGACGTGACTCTGCCCTTCGGCATGGCTTCGACCGGGTTCTTATGCACTCTACTACCCACATTCCCTTCATATTCCATTAATAAAAAGTAAGTTTCACTCGATCAGATTCTTCAACTGCCTTGTGGAATTGATTCCTAAGAGGATGAAAAAAAAACACTTTGAAAGAAAAAGTCCATAAAAAGCCTTTGAATCCCTGAAAATCCAAGCTTTTCTTGCTTGACTCTCTAAAGAAGAAAACAAAAAATCCAGCTGCTAACTTGAAGAGCTAGCCCCTTCGTATCAAGTTGAGTTGTCATTTACATTTCGTGTGGCTCTCAGGCCTTGTACAGGTTGAAAATCACTTTAAAAACTGTATATGGAACATCACTGTAGAGCAACCCTTAACAAACAGAACACGCAGATTCTTGTTAATGTGATGGTTTCAGTCCTTACGAAGATACGATCACACTTGATTACTACTATACATATCTCAACTTAGCAAATATCGATTATCTGCTTCCTGAGATAAATATTTGCGACGTTTGTGACGAAGGCCATTGGTCGATGTTCCAGTTCAATTAAAGGCTATGTTTTTTTGTTTTTTTTTAATGGTGAGGTTCAAGTCAGAGAGACCTTCACCTATGCCCAAATGGAACATCGCTACCTTAATTTCCCGATTTCAACCTTTTGAATCCTAGCTTGTAAAATCGCCAAATCAACCAAAATGTTTCCTTAATATTTACTTCATATTTGCTCATTTTCTTTTTTTTTATTATTTTCACTTTTGTTTATTGTTGTTGTTTCATTTGTTACGATGATGATTGCGATAGTGATGATGTTTAAGAACGAAAAAATTCTATATTGGAATGCTTTGTTGATTGGCCATTGGGACAAAGTCTTCCTAATGAAATCCGATAACAGACAAAAAGAAAAACGAATGCTTAATAAGGGATGGTAAATATCAAATGTAGGACTTGTTCACGGCTTAATAGAGCTCTTGACGCGATATCGTGCCAAGCGACGTGCCACGACAGCGGAAGGCTGCAGACATTGTTGAGTGATTATCTAAATCTATTAACATGAATTTCTCGACAATAACAAATGACCAACACTCCAATCCACATAATATATTATACAAAACCCGGTTTATGCAATTACTGAATTAAATTTTATTATGAGAACTGAACATTGACAGAAATATTTGGGAGAGAATTTAACAGATGTGTGTATGTTTATGTGGACTTGTAATTGAGAATGAAGTTGTGTTTAGTGCTAAAAGACAAAATACCTTTAACTTTCAAAAACTACTATCATGTAAAATATCAAGTACAAAAAAGAAAGAAAGAATGAGTAACACAAAAAAAGAAAGAATGACTTTCTAAAAATAAAGAAAGACTGTCAATGAAGAAAAAAAGAAAGTCTTAAGAAAGAGAGAAAGAAAGAAAGAAAGAAAGCTAATAAAGAAATAGGAAATTTGGTGCAAAAAGAAGAATGAAGAAAGAGGGAATTTGACGCAAAAGGAAAAAAGGAAAGAAAGTATGTCAAAGAAGAAAGAAATTGCAGAAAGAAGGAAGAAAAATTGCCAATGAAGAAAAATGTCAAAGAAGAAAGACGTTGCAGAAAAAGAAAGAAATTGCAGAAAGAAAAGAAAGAAAGAAAAAGATGTCAAAAAGAAAGAAAGAAAAGAAAAAAAAGAAAAGAAAAGAAAGAAAAAAAAGAACGGGTGCCAATGAAGAAAGGATGTCAAGGAAGAAATAACCTGCAGAAAGAAATTGCAGAAAGAAAGAAAGAAAAAAGAAAGAAAGAAAGAAAGAAAGAACGGGTGCCAATGAAGAAAGGATGTCAAGGAAGAAATAACCTGCAGAAAGAAATTGCAAAAAGAAAGAAATTACAGAAAGAAAGAAAGAAAGAAAGAAAGAAAGAAAGAAAGAAAGAAAGAACGGGTGCCAATGAAGAAAGGATGTCAAGGAAGAAATAACCTGCAGAAAGAAATTGCAAAAAGAAAGAAATTACAGAAAGAAAGAAAGAAAGAAAGAAAGAAAGAAAGAAAGAAAAAAAAAAGAAAGAAAACCAAAAAGAACGGGTGCCAATGAAGAAAAGGATGTCAAGGAAGAAATAACCTGCAGAAAGTAATTGCAAAAAGAATAGAAATTACAGAAAGAAAGAAAGAACGGGTGCCAATGAAGAAAGGATGTCAAGGAAGAAATAACCTGCAGAAAGAAATTGCAAAAAGAAAGAAATTACAGAAAGAAATTACAGAAAGAAAGAAATTACAGAAAGAAATTACAGAAAGAAAGAAAGAAAAAAAGAAAGGAAGAAAGAACGGGTGCCAATGAAGAAAGGATGTCAAGGAAGAAAGAACTTGCAGAAAGAAATCGCAGAAAGAAAGAAATTGCAAAAAGAAAGAAAGAATGAAATTACAGAAAGAAAGAAAGAAAGAAAGAAAGAAAGAAAGAAAGAAAGAACGGGTGCCAATGAAGAAATAAAGAAAGAAAGAAAATTAGAAAATGTGAAGAAATAAAAAGTAAAATAAAAGAGAGAAGGAAAAAGTATAAAGAAACAAAGCAATAAAAAGAAGGGAAGACATAAATAAGCGAAAGAAAGAAAGAAATACAGAAACTATAAAGTAAGAACACGTGAAAACCGAGAGAATAAAGAAATGTGGAAAAAAAGGCGAAGAATTATAATTAATTAGAACAAACAAATGATCTGGTATGATCAATAGTGAAACAAGTCGAGTACAATCACCACCTCAGACACGATGGCTTGTGACTTTCTGCTAGCACAACTATCAAGAGAAATGGGAGAGTTCCGTTAACCCAATTTAAAGCACAATACTTAGGTCAGCACGTGGAATGGTTTACAGACAATTTCCAAAATATTATAATCACGAAAGAAAAGGGCTAAAATTAATAAAGATGGATGAAATAAAAAGTACAAACACGAATTAAAAAATAAACAAAAAAGTAACACGCACGAAATCTGTAGTTGTAAAGAAAAGAAAAAGAAGAAAAAAAACTGTCAACTTATAGGAGCAACAAACGTCTGCAATAGATTTCTTCTGTCTCTCGACCACAACACTTGTAGCCAAATCACAGTTCAAACGATAGTCCGTCGTAACAGTCCAACAGGCAACGTAGAAACGACAAAATGGTGTCACTCATCCAACCTTCACTTCTCACCAGCAAAAACACGTGTTCGTCCACCAAGCTCAGACAATCTAATGCCCATAAGCGAAAAACAACGGTTTTTGTTCACCGAGAGATCTTTCTGATTGGTCACGCCATTCAGGGGAGGGAAGAACATTAGCATAGATTCTGGTCCTTAAAGTAGATTTTTGCTAACTACTTTTTGATAATTTTTCTTTCGCAGATGACACAAACTCTTTTTCGAGGTAGCTGATTATGTCTTTCACTACAAATTCTTTTTGTGAAGAAGTGTTGGAAAATAAACAAAGTGCGAAATAAGAAAAAAGATAGATAGATAGATAGATAGATAGATAGATAGATAGATAGATGGAGAATTGCTAAAGATTAAAAAAAATAGCATGATGATAAAGAAGACGCTAATAATAAAGAACATATTTATAAGGCTATGACAATGTTCAATTTTTTAAAAACTGCAGAAAACGAAAAAAAAAGAAACAGTGATAAATATAAAAACAAAGGTTTCAGCGATTTGTTTTTAAAAGCATTTTTTCCCTAACTGTGAGATTATTTTTTTCCTCTCCCGAAATGCGAAAAACAAAGTTGACCTGACACGAGAAAAGGGCAAAAAGTAAGTCAAGCGAACGGCTCTCAATAGACACAAATATCGAAATAAATTAAGCAATCTAAACAAACGCTGGGTTTTGGCGGTTTCACATTGATATCGCTGACAAGGCCGACCGAATAAGAATGGCGGGCGAAAGCAAATGAAACATGGATTAAAAAACAATCAAGCTTAATTTGCTGTGTATTTTTATCTGCGTGTCACTAAGGCACGATAAAAAAAATGAAAGGATTCCAGAAAATATTTTGTTTTTCAATGGTAATGGTAATGGCCACATGAACCGTTTCTATTAAGGAAACAATCGACATTCATTGGCCTCACAGTTTTTACTACTGTCAGTTGAGATTTGTGAAAGCTTTCTCTTAAAACAATTTTTCAGGAAAATAAGTTTCTCAAGTCCAGTAGCTGTTATCGTTCTTTCCATTACTGGTGCAGCTTGATGGAGGTTTCCTTCCCAACCTTTTATTTGAAGTAGTACGGAAGTCAACGTTTTGATTATTTTTTTTGTGTTATCTTCGAGTTGCATGTGTTATCTATTTTAATTGTTGGTCCTCAAGTGATGTAGTTTCTCTTACATGGTACAGTTCTTTCTTTGTGATTCTGTGGCGCCAGTCCCCCCTCCAAAAAAACATTTTAACCATTGATATTAAAACGCAGAATTGATATTTCGGAATCGGTTTGTCGCCAACATAACATTCACATGAAAGTCTCGATCTGGCAAGACTATTTAAGAATATCATTGTATTTTTCGATTATTTATACGAGATTACGAAAGTATCTCCTATTCGAAATGATTTTGGCATTTAAGGTCATCCTTACCATAGATACAAGATAAAGAATTTTATACAGCATCACTGAAGGTCTCCAAGAATGTACAGCATCTTGAGTTTCAACAACTCATCACTGGAAGTTGCCACTTCTTTACGGCTGGCCATGACAGGGACTTGTTAACCAATATTTGCAGTAAGAACTCTTAGTTTTACGTTAGAGATTTCTTCTGACGGGACAAGACATCCATGGCAGTATGGAGGTCAAGACTTCAAAATTACACACTTTTCGCTGACATGGTTCAGTCTTTAAAACAGATTTTTTAAAAATTCAAGGATCCAAGAAAATTAGCACTTTGCAATCTTGTTAGAGAATGCGAAGGCTAGTTTCAGAATGGTCGGCGATTGACCAGAATATGTCGTGGGCGTGGTATTCTGACAGTGATGGATTGCCCTTGTCTGGGTTTTGGATATAAGTCCAAAACGACCCGAATTCAACAGAGGATCGCAATGGTTTGAAGCATTGATACTCTTTCCAAATCCAGTTTGAGAACTGGGTTCAAACCACACGTGGAAAGATGCTAAACCAACGAACGACATACGCCATTATCCCGCTGCCTTTTAGAATCGAATCTGCTACATCTGTCCCTGTCTTATAATAAAAACCAGTAAGAAAAATAAATCAAACTTTATGTTAATACCATCTATGCTGTAACGTTCGGACCCAGAGATGACACGGAACTCAACAATCTAACAAAATGTTATTTTCAGATTCACTGAGATCTTTGGAAGTGGGTCGGGGTGAAAACTTTCAGCAACCTCTACGAATGAGATGATAATTTTTTTTTTTTTTCAAAAATACTGGTTCGCTGGTTGTATTTGAAAATCATTATGCCCATTAATTTTCAGAATAAATAAAACTTCGTCTTTTACTTTTCTCAAATTCTAAAACTTCTATGCAGAAAAGGTCTTCCAGAAAATTATAAAAAAAGGAGCGAAAAAATGTGTGTTTTAAAAAAAGAATAACAAAAATAATTATCAAAAGTTTAATTGATCTAAAATGAATGCGTTCTCTGAAACGTACTCATTTTATGAGAGGATCATCTAAACAATCTTTAAAACTGACCTGACCGCCATCAAAACTTTTAACATCTGGTTTAGTCTCTCGACTTTTCATTTTTATGGCGCTCGGCCTTGAAAATGAAACGGAAACAAAGAGAAAAAAAGTATTTCGGGTTAAATACACTGAAATTGCACAATGGATAAAGGCGTTAGATCCAGTGACATAACCGAAAGAGTTGTGAGTTCAATACCTGGTTAAGGCAGTGGAGAACTTAAAGAGGGGAATTAACTGGAAATAACTGATAACTGACATCCATTAAACATGGCACGTGGAACTAGAACAGTCTACCCCAGTGAGCGCAATAAAGGGTTTAGTTCGACATTCCAACCAACTGAAGAAGGCCGGAGCGTACAATGGCCGAAACGTTGAAATAAATATGGCGACAAAGTTGAGGACAATAGTCCGAATAATGTAAATAATGTACATAATACCTCATCTCAGAAATATAGACAGATATTCTAGACTAATTTAATCAGTAAACACCCAGTATCTATAGCCTAATTGCACTTAGCTTTGATCCACAAGGTTTCTTAAGCCGATCGAATTCATATAAATAGTGTTTGCTAAACTTCGCTTATTACAACATTAAGCTACAAATATATGGCCACCCATCGAGAATCGAACTCACTTTAATGGTCTCCATTAATACCTTAAGCGTTAGCGAGATATTATTTGAAACGGATATCTTAAATATCTGTCCGTTGACATTATTTGCTTTCAATTTTCTCAAGTAAATAGAACCTCAGATTCGAGACGACGTTTTTGCGTCGGTTAGTAAAAGTACTCCGGTTATGTGTGATAAGGACGAAATATAAATTTTAAAAAAAAATATTAACTTTTAATATTCGAGATTATGGCTTCTATTTTGGGGAGAGATGTTTTGCTTCTATTCTTACAAGTCAGTGATACTCAATACAGTAAATGTATCTCAGAGAAAAATATTAACTTTTAACGAAAACAGAAAGCACCTGACTTTAAAATGTCACGTTCGTCACGGTATTTAAATATAATTTCCTAATACAAATGTTTTACCAAAACGCTTTGAACAAATGTAATTATTCGGGGAAAAAAAAAGAAATATAAATACAATACAGTGAGTTTTAAATTCACGACTAAAAACTTATTTCTAAAGCAACACAGACTTACAACAATAAAACGAAGCATTAAACAGGGTGTCCATAAAGTTCGTGTGCACTTTAAAAAATTATAACTTTATTTGTATTTGCGATAGAAATAATATGTAAAAAATGTTTAATGTACCTAGTTTTAACTATAGTAATTGAATAATTCTTTACCACAAAATTTGCAACAATTTTTAGATAAGTAAAAAAATATTTTCTTTTTTCCAGAATCAATTTCATCCATGGCTTCAACTGAGGAAAAAGTAAACTGTGTCCTTTGGTTGGTTGAACTGAAATCTACTTTTGCTGTACAAAGGAAGTTTAGAATTGAATACAATAAAGAACCACCTCATAGGAACACTATTCCTAAGTGGAGACAGGCTCCGTAGAAGATATGGGAAACTTAAATAAAATTTCAATAAAACTTTAAAGAATATAGATTTACTTCTTTCTTCCTTTTTCCAAATTATTTCTATCGTAAATACAAATAAAGTTATAATTTTTTAAAGTGCCCACGAACTTTATGGACACCCTGTATTTTAGATGATTAATTAGCATTTGAGTGGACAAGATGAATTCATTGATCCCTTTTTACGGTTTATCAACCCTTTGCAGGATTTTTAAAGCCTAAAATATTTTTAGATCATAAGATTTTTTTAATAATAATAATGATTTAATGATATAAGCCTTACTAATTAACAAATTAATTAGTTTGGGGGAGAAGAGGTAGATTCATAGCTTCCCCAAGGGTATTTAAGTATAAGGAAATATAACAAAACCGACTGCAACTGGAACTCGGTTCTCCTATTTCCTACCGTTATCCATTGCGTCACTGCACATCCAAGCACCTGGTATTCCCAAACTATCACCCATCTAGGAACTGATCAGGATCGACGTTGTTTAACTTCAGTGATCGTACGGGAACAGGTGTTTTAACGTTATGTGGTCATAAACATGAAAAGATAGAAGCATCCATCTTGCACCTTACAGAAACTTGTTCTAGTTTTCACCATAAAATAAACAAAGAGAATCTGAACAGACTGTGTTACAGAATGCGAAGGCCTAATGGTCAGCGATTGGCTGGAATGCATCGTTCGCAAGGCATTCTGATAACAATCGACTGCCTTTTTCTTGGTTTTGAATATAAGTCCAAAACGGCGCTAATTCAACAGAATCTCACGAATTCTGAATCGCCGATATGCTTCCCACCTGCAGGGTTGCAACCGGCTAATACTCCCCGCGGAGTTACGCTAAACCAAGGTGCGACATGCGTTCCTGCGATGTCATTCCTCCTACTACCTCTTATAATCCAAGCTGCCACTCATAACGAATATCAAAAATAAAAGACCCTTTTCGTTGATGCCGTTTTATGTAGTAGCGTGGGGATCTAGAGACGACACAGTATACAACAACTGCGAACTCTCTATCATCATGACATAACAATTCATAGTAATGAAATAGAGGACAGGGAGAGTTGATTTCATGCCTTTATTCTTAGGGTAAAAACATTTATCACCAGAATTTGAAGTCGGTTGCTGAATTTATCATCCATGTTTTCTTCCATAGCATTTTTTCTTTTTTTATATCATGATTTATATTCTAATACTATCCGTTTATCTTACGGGTTGAGTTTATTTTACAAATACATCAAAACACTGATGCACTTAAATTATTGCATATTTAATGAGACAGCAAATACTAAAGAAGTGTAGAAAGATGCCAACATCAGCAAAGTACAATTAATATATGAAGATATAGCAAATAATGTTGCACTTTGCGTCAAATTTTGTTTCACACAAAGTCGATGTAGTACGGACTATTGCTGCGATGGTTTTTGAGCAGTACTATTTATGTGCCATTTACAAGGAAGGCACTCTAGAAAGACACGGTGAAAACGAGCTTTTCAGGGCTGGCGCTTATGTAAGATTAAATCAGGATGTGTTCACATTTATTCTTACACACCCAATGGTGATTCTTTGTCTGAACGCCATCTTCAAGTCTGAATGTTACATTCAGGCATGAAACAGGCTGTCGTTGTTTGATGTTGATCTCAACGTGCACTTTTATATTTTGTGTTTACATACGCTTTATCCATGATATTGAGCACTTTAAAGCATAATATCTATCTATCTATCTAATATATATATATATAATATATATATATATATATATATATATATATATATATATATATATCGATACTCTGCAACGACTTTCGCCAGCGACAACTATAAAGATAAATTTCAGTTTAGTATGCAATGACTTGCATGCAAGTGTAGTTCTTTTTTTCCTTGACTAATGGGTCGGTATATTTAACAATATATTTATTTTCTGAAGCTTTGAAAGGAATTAGAGAAGAACCTCGGTTCACGAATTTAATTTGTTCCTGAAGGACGTTCGTAACCCGAATTGTTCGTAACCCGAATTGTTCGTAAACCGAGACTATTTTTTCCAATAGGAATCAATGTATCGATGAGTATAATCATAACAACTCATGAAGGAAAGAAAACTAATTCGTCTCGTTTAGATCAAGCTGGGCCATCGGAAAGTCTTGCGATGAGACAGGAGACAGAAATTAATGGATCATGAAGGATGTATAAAAGTATCCTATTTATAGCTATAAGGTATGTTCATCGCTTGTATCAGGGTAACAGAGTAACCAGAAGAAAGAAATTATCCAAAAAATATCCTAGTAATTAAGATGAAAGTCAAAAAAATATCCAGGTAATTAAGAGGAAAGTCAAATAATATCCGGGTAATTAAGATGAAAGTCAAAAAAATATCAAGCTAATTAAGATAAAAGTCAAAAAAATATGCAGGTAATTAAGATGAAAGTCAAAAAAAATATCAAGCTAATTAAGATAAAAGTCAAAACATATGCAGGTAATTAAGATGAAAGTCAAAAAAAATATCAAGCTAATTAAGATAAAAGTCAAAAAATATGCAGGTAATTAAGATGAAAGTAAAAAAAAATATCCGGGTAATTACGATGAAAGTCAAAAAATATCCGGTTAATTAAGATGAAAGTCAAAAAAATATCAAAGTAATTAAGATTAATGTCAAAAAAATATTTGGGTAATTAAGATGAAAGTCAAAAAAATATCCAGGTAATTACGATGAAAGTCAAAAAAATATCCGGGCAATTAAGATGAAAGTCAAAAAATATCAAGGTAATTAAGATAAAATTCAAAAAAATATGCAAGTAATTAAGATGAAGGTCAAAAAAATATCAAGCTAATTAAGATAAAAATCAAAAAAATATGCAGGTAATTAAGATGAAAGTCAAAAAAATATGCAGGTAATTAAGATGAAAGTCCAAAAAATATGCAGGTAATTAAGATGAAAGTCAAAAAGATATCCAGGTAATTAAGATGACAGTCAAAAAAATATCCGGGCAATTAAGATGAAAGTCAAAAAATATGCAGGTAATTAAGATAAAAGTCAAAAATATATCAAAGTAATTAAGATTAATGTCAAAAAAATACCCGGGTAATTAAGATGAAAGTAAAAAAATATCAAGGTAATTAAGATTAAAGTCAAAAAAATACCCAGGTAATTATGATGAAACTCAAAATTGATTCTTTCTCACTTTATCACATGTGTCATCGCTAGCTCAATTTTCGATTACTGGACTAATAAATATTGATCTGAAAATTACCACCCCAAGAAATTTGAACAGTTTCCAGCCCACTGTCAAAAATGACGAGTACTTTGTTTTAAATATTTAAGATGTACGCAGTTTAACAAGTAAAATAAAAACTTTCATGTGAGGAAAGTTTGGATATTATATGTCAGTAAGGAGTAGGCGTTTATCAGCAAACATATTTTCTGTGTGATTTTGGTATAATATAGAAAAATAATTAAATTATTATTTTCGTCAGATAACAATCGAGATAAAAACAAATTCTGTTTGTTTCGATTTTATGGAATTATCGATTATTCAGAAATAAAAAGAGATAAAACAGCAGATAAACGACCAAACTTTAAAAATGAAACAAAATGACGTCTACATTTTTTTCCCCTCGCAACTGCCGTCAGGAAACTGGAAGGAAGGAAGGAAGGAAGGAAGGAAGGAAGAAAAAGGAGAAAAACTTATTAAATCTTATGACATTTGCATCACAAGAATAATGGAGACGTAATTAATATGAAACTGACCTCAGAAATCAGAGAAGCGGGAAAAATGTGGGAAATATATTTTAATTTGTAAGGTGTCTTCGTATAATTTCAGTTGTCCTTATTTTAAATTTCATAAACAAATTTTTAGAGAAGTTTTCTATAAGAATGCAAATAAAATGTAAGTTGATCTCTCCCTCGTCTATTCAAGGGTCAGTTCAAAAACACCTTGCTGGTGACTGAAATCGATTCGGTCAATTGGTAGACGGAAGCTGCAAAAATAACTAATTGGAGAAGAGCGACCCACGAAAAAATCTGTGGCTATGCAGGCTTGTTTTAGGAGTTTCCTCTGCCTACCCCAATCGGGGAAGGATTTCGTGGCAGGAGCGGATCACAAAACAACGAAGTTCTTCTCCGTGCAAAGATGGAGACCCTAGAAACAATCATGACTCGCCACCGATGTGCCGGACACCTTACACGAATGCCAGACATCTTCTTCTCAGAGACCCACGTCGTCAATTCAAGCATGAGCTCAAAAACACCTTCCTGAGGACAGAACTCGATCTGATCAATTGGGAGAATGGAAGCTACAGAAATAACCAATTGGAGAAGTCCACGAAAAAAGAAGTACATCCTTCGAAAACACCAGAAGATAATATAGAAGAGAAGAAAGGAATCCAAAGAAATGCCAGGGATTTGAAGCTTCCTACATTATCATGCGGTAGTTATGCACATCTCTTCAGATCTAACATAGGACTCATTTCACACAGAACGAAATGTCGATGAGAACCCTAATACTTGGCAATCTTATACAAACAAAGTGCATTATTTTTATTTATAAATATGGCCAAAAGGAAAGCATTCAGGGAAACGAACTGACTAAGTATGATCCGACCCCTGGAGGGTAGGCGGTCAAGTGTACTTTCTACATACGAAAACAAATCTGCAGCCCGACGCCAGCTATCATCATGTACCTGCCTCTCACTTCCTGGTTTGCCGCAGTCAATGGTGTCAGCTGAAGTGTGTGTGATATGGAGTGGCGACCCAGGGACCACCTCAAAGGATTTAGCGCCAAGGATTTCGTGCTTAAAGACTTTTCTTCTTACGTTAAAGAACCAATTGGAGAAAAGCAAGCCACGAAAAAAATAGACACAACATCCTTCGAAAGCAGCAAGAAACAAATAGAATAGACGAAACGAGACCAGGGAAAGACCCGAGCTCTCCATCCCCTAAGCCCTACTAGACTACCGTGTGGTGACTGCGGACATCTCTTCAGATACAACATAGGACTCATTTCACACAAAAGGAAATGTCGATGAGAACCCCAAAGATTTATACCAATGATCACAATAAGTAATATACGTAACATAAGTAACATATGTATATATGATCTTAATTCATAAAATTTCGTTTTTTATTTATAAGCTTTATTCTTAAAAAATAAATCATGATTACATTTAATTCCATTATATATTCGCGAGGAAAGTTGGCTCCCTGTGCCGCGCCAGGAAATTTTTCACCCCGGAATCGATCCTTCTGATCTACAAATCAACTATTCGACCTTGCATGGAGTATTGCTGCCATATATGGTCTGGTGCACCTTCTGTTTACCTCGGAGTTCTTGGCAAGATCCATAGACGGATATGTAATGTAATTGGCCCTGATCTGGCGTCTCGTCTACAGTCACTCTCTCACAGACGCGCCGTCGCCTCTCTCTGTCTTTTCTACAAATACTTTCATGGTAATTGCTCCGATGAGCTGCTTTCACTGGTTCCCAGACTCCATGAATTCAAGCGCCCTACGAGGCTGGCATCCCGCTCTCGCCCTTTCACTGTAGAAACTTTTAAATATAGCCGTCTCTTCTACTCCAATAGCTTCATACCTCGCACCTCTCGCCTGTGGAACACCCTTCCCAATTACTGTTTCCCTGAGAGCTATAATCTCCAACTATTCAAATGTAATGTCAATCGACATCTCCAGTTACCTTGATCTATCCACTACCCCTCTCCTCATCCTTTCTTCTATCACTCCTATCTGCTCTCGATCCAAATCTTCTGCAACCCCTTGCATCCTAGTGGCTTCACGCCTTGCTCGGGGTGTAATGCTTAAAAAAAAATAATCACGTTCATTTGCTATGCCTTGTTGCGACTTATCAGGCCACTTTTCGATATCTTTTGAATAAATACTTGCAGGTTTAGTGCAAGATCAGATGAATATGGTGAGTGTTGTAGAATGGAACAACAGTGCTTCAATTTTTTTTCTGTCATATTTATTTACGTAGTCATAGAGGAGAACAATCCTTTTCCTTTTAACGAGCTTTTTTTTACCAAAGTTTTATTGTCATGTTGCTACTGCCGGGCGTATAAATTTACATTTAGTGTATCATTTAATTTTAAGAACTTTAAATGTATAATTCCCCGACGAACTTGCCATATGCACAATATTACCTTCCTTCCATGGAGAGCTCATCTTTTGAGTTCAGTTGTAGCGATTTATGCTTTTGTCAATTCACAGACTTTTGTGTTGAACATTGTCGTATATTAGTGTACTCGCAATTTATTTGTGATTCCTACGTATGATTCATAGTTAGGATAATATATTCGTCATTACAATTAGTTCTGTAAACAAAAAATTACTCATGACAACAATATGATAATCGATAATCATAATTTATAAGATATTGATATTCATATAAATTATTCTACGACTTCTATCTGATTTGGAGGATTATATATCATTATTTACATTATGTACATTTTGTGATTATTTTTTTCGGTTCTCACCACTTGAGATACACGCAATGCATTAAAACAAGACTGCATCTTTGTAGCGAGTAATTGTTTTTGTCCGCATGTAAAAATCTATAATAAATAATTATTGCTCTACTCTTGGTATTGAGCCCTCTTTTGAATTAAAGCTGTGAACGTTAGAATTTATATTATTTTCGTTCTCATTATCTTTGGATTTCTCGCCGGAGTCGATCCTTCAAATCTACAAATCAAACATTCGCCCTTGCATGGAGTATGGCTGCCATAAATGGTCTGGGGCCCCTTCTGTTTGTCTCAAGGTTCTTGACAAAATCCAGAGACGGATATGCAATGTAGTTGGCCCTGATCTGGCATCTCATCTGCAGTCGCTCTCTCACAGACGTGCCGTCACCTCCCTCTGTCTTTTTTACAAATACTTTCATGGTAACTGCTCTGATGAGCTGCTTTCGCTGGTTCCCAAACATCATGAATTTAAGCGTTCTACTAGGCTTGCATCTCGCTCACACTCTTTCACTTTCGAAACTGTTAAATGTACCCGTCTCTTCTACTCCAATAGCTTCATGACTCGCACTTCTTGCCTGTGGAACTCCCTACCCTTTTCCTGTTTCCCTGATAGCTATAATCTCCAACTATTCAAATGTAATGTCAATCGACGTCTCCAGATACCTTGATCTATCCCCTATCCTTCTCCTATGTAACTCTTTGTGTGCTAGTGGCTTCCCACATTGCTTGAAGTGAAACGCTTATATATATATATATATATATATATAGAAATATATATATATAGGTATACTATGGTTTATGGGATAAATATATCTTTAGGGACATGGTTATGGGTAAAGTGATAAAGGGACAACATTAAAGTCAACATTAGAGGCGACAATCTGTTTCATGCTAGACGCAATCGTCAGGCCACGACTCCTGGCCTGACGATTGCATGAAACAGACTGTCGCCTCTAAGTGTTGACTTCAATGTACACTTTTCTATTATATCTCTGTGTGTGTGTGTGTGTGTGTGTGTGTGTGTGTGTGTGTGTGTGTGTGTGTGTGTGTGTGTGTGTGTGTATAATACAGGTCATAAATCCGTTGGTATATAATCCAAGTGGATCCTAGTAATATTAAAACTAATCTACAAAAAGAATTCAATGTACTTATTATTACAGAGAATATAAATTACACAACAAAATCCAAATATATCGACTGAATTCGTATATAGAATTTAAATCTCTAATTCCCACACTTGTCCATACACTGGGGTTGAATATAACTAACATACTTCGTGTTGGTTCAAATAGATCTATGTCCATATGGGGTAATTTTTTGGATTTGTTGGGATTTTACATATATATATATATATATATATATATATATATATATATATATATATATATATATAATAGCGGTACTGTTTGAAAAAACCTTAGGTATTTTGGCTTGTAATTACACAAACCAATCCCCAAGGAAAAATGAGGGATAAAAAAGGAAAGAACTAAGAACATGAAATTGAGGCGAAAACAATCGTCCAGAATTCAAGCCCAGAGTCCAAAGAAAAAAACGCCAAAACGAGTAAAAATAACTACGTAAAATGCTCAATACACGAAGTAGATCAAACCTAATATAAACCTTAAGAGCCAGGTAAACCTACCTAGGTTTCACCTACACGGATCGCCAGGGTATACTGGACTCCTAGGTAAGTAGGTTTACCTGGCTCTTTAGGTTTATATATATATATATATATATATATATGATAAAACACGCCCAATCACAGTAAGATATATGCGGCTGCGTATGTGTGAAGAAGAGATACAGAGACCAACAATCAAATGTATCTTACGTATTTTCTGATACATTAACCATGTTCTTTCTAACGATGTCAAAGACAAACGTCAAAATAAAATTCTGACAAAAGAGGTCATTGTGTATTGACCGTTAAAAAAAAGAAAAAGGCAGAAAGCAAGTTTCTTCTTTGAAATATCGTTTCAGAAAAGAAACTACAACAAAAAGGAATTCTTTAACTTACAAAACGTAAGCCGAGTAAAATGCTATGCAAAAAAAAAAGAAAAAGTGTGTTGAACAACTGAGACGATCAGAGGTGTTTAAAGTAAAGGTTTCCGCTTGAAAAAGGTTTGATTTTTCGTTGAAATAAAGGAAGATTGAAAGTATAAAATAACGAAAGGAGAGAAAGATGTTCGGGTAGAAACCTAAACCTGGGGAAAATACAAACAAAGAATAAAGACCCTTTTTTTTCTATAAAAGATATACATAACAAAAAATAGGTTCGAATAGTAAGATGAGCGGAACAAAGTATACTTTAATTAAAAAAAAAGTGTAACGATTGATAAATATATGGTTGCCAACAGTCCGACAATTCACCATTTCTTCTAGATCTGTTTGTTAACCATCTTTTCAATTTCTTTTGATCTTTGCTGAATATGAAAGATTTCTTTCGATGCAAGGATTTTTTTTTCTGAATATTTATGTGGGTTGATAAAGTCTAGAATTTCTCTGTTGGGAATAAAAATAGAAAGAAAGAAAGAAAGAAAGAAAGAAAGAAAGAAAGAAACCAATGAAAAACGAATTAGTTTAAAAGAAAGAAAGACTCTAATGAAGAACGAATGAGTTTGAAAGAAAGAATAAAAATTAAAAACATTATGAAAAGTTAGAGAATTGGAAATCGAGAAATTTTAGGATACAATAAAGTATAAAAAAATGTATACAAAAGAAAGAAAGAAAGAAAGAAAGAAAGAAAGAAAGAAAAAGAAAGAAAGAAAGAAAGAAAGAAAGAAATGAGACAGATGATGACAGTGTCGGGGAAAATAAAATGAAATTTCTGGGAAAGAGAAAAGGAACAAATAATATAGAGAAAATAAAGGGAAAGAAAGAAAGAAAGAAAGAAAGAAAGAAAGAAAGAAAGAACTATGAGAACTTAGAGAAAAAGATATCAAGAAATTTCAAGATAAAAGAAAGTATAAAACATGTTTACAAGAAAGAAAGAAAATGAGAGCGAAACAGACGAGAAGGAAAAGAAGGGTAAAATAAAGAGAAAATTTAGGGAAAGTAAAAAACAAAAGAAAGAAACAAAGATGGAATGCAAACGAAAAATAGGGTGAGAAGGCAGAGAAAAGAAAATCGTGAAACTTTAAGCTACACAAGGTAATAGAAAAATAAAAAAGTTATACACAACAGAAAGAAAGAAAGAAAGAAAGAAAGAAAGAAAGAAAGAAAGAAAGAAAGAAAATGAAAACGAAAAAGGAGAATGTAGGGAAAACGATAGAGAAATTTTCAGAAAAAGAGAAAGGAAGAAATAATATAAAAAATAAACATAAGAAAGAAAGAAAGAAAGAAAGAAAGAAAGAAAGAAAATAATTATAAACGAAAAAGTCGATGATAATATATGAACAATGAGGAGAAATGTTTTAATGAAGACAGAAAGAAAGAACCGAAAGAGAAAAAAATAAAAAGTTGTGGTGAAAAAGGAAAAAAAAAACGGAAAATAAAAATCCACAAAAACTTCTGAATAACGAATCTGAATTTGGTTTGATTTCTTTCTTTTGCATTCTGCCGGTGATTATCGTAAATCTGAGTATAATCGACGCTATAAAGAAAAATATTTTGTTTCTTGGAAATATAAGTGTATCACATACAACTATACCCAAACACAGGCACACATCTGGCATATGATGCTGTCGTTTTGTAACAGACAATAGCAGTAACAGCTTTTTAGTGTTCTTATTTGGGCAGGTAAGAGAGTTGTGTCAGAGTGCTCATTCCCCAACCGTCGGCGATGTCAGTATGGTGGCATTTTGAGAAGATATTTTGTGATCGGAAAGAGCAAAGGGAAAAACGAAATTTGTTATTTCCCAAGTGTTCTTGCGAAGAGACTGTAAATAGCTTCAGGCGCAATTCGAACTCGCTTCACTGAATCTCTGATGATTGCTGTGACGTCAATCGTTCGTCTTATATTACACTTCCCTTCCAGAATATATTGCACCAACTTCAATCAGTGCAATTTATTTTGAATGAAAAAAATATTTGTTTAAAATAGTCATTTAGTACGAAGGAAGTGTGTGTGTGTGTGTGTGTGTGTGTGTGTGTGTGTGTGTGTGTGTGTGTGTGTGTGTGTGTGTGTGCTATCGATTCTAAGAAATTGTTCATCTGAACAAAAAAGAAAGAAAGAAAGAATTGTCATTAAATTAGTGAAGAACACAAAAAGCCATTTAAATCGTATCCATGGCGCTATAAGCTCCTTATTGATGAAAATGAAAACTAAGAAGGAAACTTGATTTTGTTGGCTCGAGTCTGTGACAATGCTGCCGTGCTGGACTGTATCATGTGTCTAAAATCATTATGACAATTAATTTTCAGAATAAATAAAACGGCATCTTTTACTTTTCTCAAATTCTAAAACTTCTATAGAAGTACTCTATGCAGAAAAGGTCTTCCAAAAAATTATAAAAAAAAGAGCCAAAAAATGTGTATTTTAAAAAAAGAATAAATAAAAATAATTAACAAAAGTTTAATTGATCTGAAATGAATGCGATGAATAACGTTATCTGAAACGTACTCATTTTATGAGAGGATCATCTAAAAAATCTTTAAAACTGACCTGACCGCCATCAAAACTTTTAACATCTGATTTAGTCTCTCGACTTTTCATTCTTATGGCGCTCGGCCTTGAAAATGAAACGGAAACAAAGAGAAAAAAAAGTATTTCGGGTTAAATACACTGAAATTGCACAGATGAATAAAGGCGTTGGTTAGATCCAGTGACATAACCCAAAGAGTTGTGAGTTCAATACCTGGTTAAGGCAGTGGAGAACTTAAAGAGGGGAATTAACTGGAAATAACTGATAACTGACATCCATTAAACATGGCACGTGGAACTAGAACAGTCTACCCCAGTGAGCGCAATAAAGGGTTTAGTTCGACATTCCAACCATCTGAAGAAGGCCAGAACGTACAACGGCCGAAACGTTGTAATTAATATGGCGACATTGATGAGGACAATAGTCCGAATAATGTAAATAATGTACATAATACCTCATCTCAGAAATATAGACAGATACTGAAATTTATCTTTCCGTCATAAATTGATTTTCTTATGTTTTTCTAGTTTACCTTACATTTTACAAAATTCTCGTTTTTTTAATCGGTTTCATCCCAAGACAGTAAAACAACTAAGACACATGGGTTTACAGGGTGTAGAAGAATTAGAAACTGAAACTAATGAGATGAGAAAAGAGTTATCAGGAGGACAGTAAATATCGAATGACATTGCATTGAAATTTTTACACATTAAAGTTTGCTGGAATGCATGGACCTGGAAGGGAGATTCACAAGCGAGACAGGCAAGAAAAGCATAAAACTTACGACTACATCTCGCCAGTTCAACTGTAAATTGACGAGATCTCGACGCCAGTCTCGTACTGCGCTTATATTCATAAAGTCTAGGTACCATAGCAAAGAGCTCATCTGAACAATTACCATGAAGGTATTTTCAGAGCTTTTATTTTGGTTTTGATCCGACACTTTATTCATTTTAGATTAAACAGGTTTTACCATTTTTCTTAAGAATTATATCCATTTTTTGTGAAACACGTGTGGCATTGATAAGTTCACGTTTTCATTTTTTTATTTTCTGTTTTTCTTCTTCTTCTTCATGACTTGGAATTTATGCGTAGACTAGGGGCAAAAATTTGCTCATTCCCCTTCAACACTTCCCTTTTTAGGAAAACCTCAGGCACTAGGTTATGATCTTATGCCAAAGGGGAGGTATTGCCTGGGAAGCTGGTTCTTTGTAGCTCGCACTGAAAATATTCTATTTAAACCCTTTGACCCATTGTATATTTTTCATTAAACTATTTTTGTTTGAGAGTAAAAATATGAAAATTATTCTAATCCTAAAATATTAATATAATCAAATAAATTTTTACGTTGTTTTTAAATAAAATATCACTCAATTAATACTAAATAATTTTATTATTTACAATCTTTCATTCCTCAGTAATGTTTGTTGTTTTAAAAAGCAATCATTAGAATTGTAATAAAACCTAAACACATAATGAAAAAATAATTTATACATATTTTTTGTTCTTGTGAATTTACAAGTAAAATAATAAACACTATTTATTTATTAGATTTTTGATTTACAAGAATAATTTTCTATTTACAAAATTCTAAAAACTAATACAATTATATTAAAACTAATGCAATATTTATCATTTACCAATTTATAAAGAAATAAATATGAAAACAATTTTTTATTCATAAATTTATAAACATTTACTAAATTATTAAAATGTGAACCAGCTCTAAGGAAATACTTATCATTTACCATTTTATAAAATTCCAATTAATTGGCAATTAGAACAATTTAATAAATAAATAATGTAAATAAAGAAACTAATTGATAGTGTTTATTACTTATGTTCTCAATTCTCAAGAACAAAGAAAATGTATAAATTCACTCTCATCCGTTTATTTTTTGTTCCAGTTTTAATCATCGATTTGTAAAACAATAAACCTTACCGAAGAGGGAATGTAGTTAAAATAACAGCGGTATCAAGGGAAAAACCGTCCTTTTCATATTCCAGTCTTTTTATGAACATGAAGGTTCAGGTTTGGTCAGTTGTTAATACATGTATATCACGTACTCTTCTTTTTCCACATTAATTCCTAACCTGCCAAAAAATAACAATTCTCCTTTAATTTCAAATTAAAAATAACAACATTTAAATAAATGGCTATCAATGTTCTTTATTATTTATTTGTTTAACGAGTGAGAGATTTTTTTTCTTCAAAAAGTTCTTAAGCATTAATTCTGCGTAATGAACATTGGCATGACAAAAGTTCTATTTTTTAAAGGAAACCTTTTCTTCCTCCGACCACACACACACACACACACACACGAGAAATGGTTACAGCGCGAACTTACAACTTGCGCGCTCTCTAAATGTCTTGAATATCAATGGCTGCTGCATGCTTCTTGTTAAATCTCTATAATTCCTTTAAAGTAAATTGGGTGTCAATCCCTTCTTAACTTTGCTTTGAAAACAAATTTCTGCTTAGATAAAATACTTCACGATGAAACATTTTCACAGTTTGACTAGGTGAGAAGTGACTCCCAATTCTAATACTTTGAACTTTTTTTAAAATTTAATACACCTTCAAAATCAATGTCATTCCTGTTGGCATTATATATATATATATATAAAATATATACAAATATATATATATACAATTATTTATATATATATATTTTTATGCTTATACATTATATATATATTTTTACAAATACAAATATTTTAAGACATTTTTATGCTTATAATGCTCTGTTTTTAATAAATGATCTGTTTTATATAAACAGTAAAACAACATTTACTGGCCGGAATGTCCAACAGGAATCGAACCTGTATCCTATACGGAACCGTCATATAGCCTGACGTGCCTTTAACCGATTTGCCCACAGAGAAAGATTGTAGTTTAAAGACAGTAAAATCGACCTTGCTAACCGAACGCTCCTCTGTGGCCAAATCGGTTAAAGGCTCTGTTTATAATAAACAGTATTAATTATTTTACCGGCGTGAATGTCCGAAGAATTTCATAGGAAAGCGTCCGACATTGTTATTAATACTGTTTATTATAAACAGAACATTTTCTTAAATAATAGTATCTACTATAAAAAAAAAAAAAACGTAAAAAGAGAAAATATATAAAGATTTCGTTCCATTTTGTTATATATATATATATATATATATATATATATATATATATATATATATATATATATAAATGTCTTAAAGTAATTGTCGGGCTTTGTCCATTTCATAATGTCTGACGTCATTAGTTTACATTTGAATACGCTTTGAGCAGATATGAATGTACGTGAGAGATTCATGGGAGATTGAAATTTAAAGGCAGTAAATTTGACCTTGCTAATCGAACGATTCTCTGTGGCTCGATCGGTTAAGTGCATGTCAGACTAAATGACGGTCCCATATAGGATACAGCTTCGATTCCTGTCGGAGGATGAATATTTTCTATGAAAATTTCTCGGACATTCATGCCGGTAAATATTATAAATACTGTTTATTATAAAACAGAGCATTTACTTAAATATTTGTATCTATAAAAAGAATGTATAAATATAAAATATATATATATATATATATATATATATATATATATATATCTTAAAATATATAAATAGTGGTACTCGCCTGAAAAAAACTTACGTATTTCGGCTTGTAGTTGAACAAACCAATACCCAAGGAAAAATGAAGAATAAAAAAATGAAAGAACATGAAATTGAGGCGAAAACAATCGTCCAGAATTCAAGCTCAGAATCCAAAGGAAAAAATTCCCAAAACGAGTAAAAATAACGACGTCAAGTGCTCAATACACGAAGTAGAGCAAACCTAATATAAACCTAAAGAGCCAGGTAAACCTACCTAGGTTTCACCTAAACGGATCATCAGGTTTGACCCTGACGATTCGGTTAGGTGAAACCTAGG